TATATATTTAATACATGTATATATATTTAATACATGTATATATATTTAATACAAGTACAATATATATATATATGTACAATATATATTTAATACATGTACAAGTAGCATTGATTTTACCTTTGTACTTGTAGTAAAATGTGGCAAGTTGTGTTTTGCTTGGTCCATTCCATCAATGATAAGGGACAAGAACTATTTTGGGTTCACTCTTGCTTTAATGTTATGTTTGTAGTACTTGTTCCTTTCCGTCCTTGAGAAAATATAAAAATGATTTGATATAGATGCACCGTTCATATTTAATCATTAAGATTTTAATTCACAGGGCATGGTGTGGCATGGTCGGTTGGTGTTGTAATTAATGTTAAACAGTTTTTGTTTTATTCTGAAGCATACTAATGAGGATTTTGTGACACCTGTCAATGAATATGTAATTTCAACTTACATCTGCTGAGTAAAGTGAAGTTTCCTCGTCATTCTCAAGTGATTGCGCTGCTCTTGAACTTGCAGCTTACTCAATTATGCTTTTAACTGTTCACAAATTGTGCACTTTGTAAACCGACTTTGCTGCAAAGCGGAGAAAGCAAACAAATTTTTCAAATTGTTTTATTCTTTATAAGACTACAGGACTGTAAGAGTGACTGCCATTTCAGTCGCTTTGATCATCGACAATCATTCCTACCTTTGGTATATAAACATCTGGAAAGTCACTTTCCACATTTTTTATAAGAGGTGCACGCGTGAAAGTGTGGGGTTGTCCCCCATTTCCTCCTTGTACAATGTATACCCTTCATTTTTCGTCAGGCAGGACGGTAATTGCCTTGAGGAGGAGTTTGGCATTTGTTCCGCATTTTTTGAGAATCCTCTGAACCACTTTAAAGTCAGGTTGAAGGCTTAGAAACAAAGGCAAAGGACGTGAGCGCTCAAACGATTATCAATCTTTTCTAAACTTTGAGTGATTTTGGATGCGATTCACTACCCGCGCTGTTCACGAGACTGCAAAAATCTTAGTTGAGAATTACACGACATTACAAGGAGAAGACTAGCCTGATTTATTTTCCCCTTTTAATCCTTCCAAAAGGCAGTATGATCCGATTCGACAAACTGAAAAGGACTACCGTCCACCTCACTCACATCACTGAACTGCAATTGGAATAAAATAAACATTTAACCCTAATACAAATTAGTTCATACCTTAAATAGGAAAAAA